CCCAGAATGAACTTGGTTCATTCACATTCTGGGACAGATAACAGCCATTCGTCCAGAGAGGGACGCCGAGAGAGCAGCAGGTTTGGTGGGAAGAAGAGTCGGAGACGAGTGTGGGCTATAAACGTGCATGCGAAAGTCAGCAATGTAGCCGCGGTATTGAAGCCATGAGCTAGCTTGCCAAAAGGAATGTGTCGGTGAACAATTAGGATGGGAAAGAGACCCCCTAAACACCAGCGCTTCAAGGAACCTTTGGGAAGAAGGGTCAAGTGAAAAGGAATGGATAATACCGTGCCGTTCACAACCGATCAATCCGTAATTGTGCCATTGAATTTTGCCCGGTGTCTGCCGTTTCCCCCTGCATCCTACTTTGTTGTCTTACACTGACTATCACTTGTTGAAAGGGCAGCAAGATTCGTGTCCTCTTCATAGGTCCCAGGCATTGTGGGTGTTCTGGAAGGGTCAGTCACGCTAGGCACATAGCGCTGTCTTCTCCTCCCGGGCTGCTTTTAATGGGGCTTTGCAGTCAAAGCCCCCCACAGTCTGCTTTTCAGAAGTTAGCTGTCTAGGCTGGGGTTATTGCAAACATAACTGCTTTATAATGGCAAATTTACCTCAAAGGTATGCAGAGTGGTTGCCATGAGCAACACAGAAAATGAGCCCCTGAACCGAAATGAATGTTTGGAATTAAACTTTTCCGGTGTACTTGGGGCCGTTGCTGAGCTGTTTCCCTGCTAGGATCGGGTCTGGGCAAGTGCTGTGCACTTTGCCCTGGTTCTGAGGTTTCAGGAGAGGGGCATTTGGCTCGGATTCTGGAAGGCATGGTTGTTGGGTTTTGTTTTGATTTTTCCATTTTCCAGTAGATGATTTGTCAGTGGTTGAAGAGTCCCCACTCCCTGTATTTGGGAATCTGGTCAGATTGCTTCAGGATGCCGTGTCCTACAGATGGGAAGTGCTGAGGAACATCAGATACTCACTCGACTGCTCAGTTGATGTGAATCAATATTTCTCTTTCTCATTCTCTGTCTTCACTGATCTTTAACCCAGACAAGGACCCGATTTCCCCTCTAGCCTCTGTTTTTGCAACAGTATGTTATTCACATTGGTGAGTATGTACCTACCATCTGACTGGCTGTCTCTTTTGATGTCCCTCTGACCCTTTTGGAGAAGTAGCTCAAGCAGGCGTGCCCTGAGCAGGCAAGTGGGCAAGAGCCACCGAGTCCGGGACAGGCTTCTCTTCCTGCGTATGCTCGTGAAGAGCTCCCTCTGCACGAATTTGGCATCGCCACCTTCGTGGAAGCGAACACTGTGCAGAAAGAGGCCCTGCGGTGTGCTTTACAAGATTCGACCTTCACCAGCCTGGTTTGGTTCTCCTGCTGCAGTTTACAAGTAAATGACTCCTGGATGTTGATATTGCAGCTCCCTCTAGTGTCCTGTGGCTCAGGCTCGCACAGTATTTTTCTTCCCTTTCAAGACAATGCTGACAGCACAGAATCTGCCAAAACTGGCATTATTTTAAGTAGGTTTTCCCAAACATAGCAAAACAAATATGAGGTGACTTTTCTCCCATTAGGAAAAGGAATCTTACATGAAAATATGGGATCATTCCACTCTAGTTTTTTTCCTATTTTAAAATTTGGGGGAGCCTAGGAGTCCTGCAGAAATCACTTTTTTCGGGTAACGAATCTTTCTCGAGATCCCTCTGGTTCATGCTAGCTCCCCTTTGTAAAGAAGGAGTGTGAATTCCTTTCAAGAAAGATAAATGAAAATGAGAGGCCAAGAAAAAGTTACTTTGATCCCTCTTAGAGAAAATTCTGGGTAAGGGAAGAAGAAAAAAAGAGAAAAATTGGCAGAATGACCATGTCCATTTGTTCTGAAAAGAGTGGCTTGTTTTCTGAAATAACTTTTGGACTAGAAATTTATCATCTGAAGTCAGGTCATTTTGAGTTTTTTAAAAAACTAAAGGAGTCAAGTTATTAATATTTGAAAAATGGCTACTATGTGGTGCATAGAATAATATAATACTCCTACCTAAATTAACATCGTTGCAGGCTCCGTAATAAAGATTTATGAGATACCCGTCACGTGAAATCCTGTTATGGAAATCTCCATAGGTCTGCGTTCGGGTTGTAACTGTTTTCATGGTTATGAACCAATTAAAACCCCTCTTTTTCTCCTCTTTTACACTCCAGTCTTCTCCTTTTTGCCTTTGCCTTAAAACTAGAGCGATCCGTTATTCTTCAGCCTATCTGTGTATCATAAAATGAAGAAATAAGGAAATGCCTGCCGCCCACTCAGCTAGGCAGACCATTTTCCTTCAGAGCATCCAAAACGGTGGAACAATTTATCATTTCTTCTTCGTAAATCACCTTGATCCTTTATCTCAAGTTGATCTGTGAAGCTAAACATAGATTCTGTTGTAGTATCCAGGTTCTTATCTGCTCACTAAGCTCTGGGGGACCTTATAAAAATGTGTGTGTGTATATGTGTTTGTCTAGATACAATTAGAACATCACAATTAGAATGTCTTCTCCACCTCTACTGTTCAACTACAAGGTGGAAGGCTTTTTCAGCCTGACTTGGCATAGTGGGAACCACAGTTCTCTCTCCTAGCCTTAGGGTTCCTGTCTTGGATCAGAAGGTAGCGACACTGGCTTGGAGGTGTTGAATGTTAGCAGTCCCTTTTTACCTGTCTTTTCTCAAACCTGTGGTCAGAGAGCCTCACTGCCCATGGCAGGTGGCTGTCGGGACTCAAAAGAAAGGTATGTTTTTCTGTCTTGCTCTCTTTGTTGGAAAACATGAGGATTCTATAAGATTGCATCACTTTTAACATGTCCAAGAGGTTAACTGTTACAGTCATTATCAGTGTTACATTTGTACAACTTTGTAGTTTACAGATGTGCTTATGTACTTGATTCCCTTTAATCCTCACAACTGCCCTGTGAAATAGGTTTCAGTATTCTTGACATTGTTTCCTTCATTAGGGAAATTAGTCAAATGCCCAGGGCTGCACAGCTAATGGCAAGGCTTAATCCCAGGCCTCTTAAGTCCTTGGTGAGTATCCTTTCTACAGTGCAGCAGCTAGAGTTTAACTATCCAGGTTCATTCGGCTAAACTTCCTATAGTATTCCACAGACTTTTCAAAGACTGAGGAGTTGGGACCCTTGAACTTTCATTCCAGCAGGCAGTGTGATACTGAGCAAATTATTAAAACTGGGGATGGTGTTAATGGTGCCACGTGTTGGATCCAACTCCTGTACAACTAAATGATGACTAATATAGGATTTTTAAATACTTGGTGACACATAATTTTGAAATATTGCCAACAGTCCAGTATAGAAAGAATACATGTTATGATTGATGAGCATATAGGAGTATATATTATACCAAATGTAATGAGACTTTCAGAGCTTTCCAAAGACAATATTTTCTAAAAGATATGCTACTTGAACTTAAACTCAGCCTGGGGGCATCTGTTTCAAGACCAGAAGTTTGCTTGAAACAGAAATGCTTAGTGTACCCTCAAACTAATTAGGTAGGTGGTAGAAGACTTGAAGGAATTTGTTCAGATAGATAGATAGATAGATAGATAGACAGACAGACAGACAAATTTCCATGGCACTGGTCACTGATGTCAGGTCTCTTTAACTATAATAAATACAGTGAGAGAGAGAGAGAGATGTTCTCCCCCCAGACTCCCTTGCCTTTGGTCTTCTTTTTTTTTCTTAATATCTATTTGAATGGAAATCGGAACATGTTGCTACTCAGAACTGGAGACCCATCTGCATCTTCCTAAGAAAATGTACATTTTTCTTTTTAAATGAAAATGACTAGAAAATACTTTTTTAAAAAAGTTTGCTTCTTTTCTGTATTACTGTAATAAACAGGCAGTGTAAACACTACAACGAGTGCTTGTTGCCGGAGGCTTTGACATCGGTAAGCTATGGCAGTGTACTCCTGCTGAGCGGCAAGAGTAGAGAATGTATCCCTCAGCTACCAGGGCCACGGAGGGGACTCCAGACCAGGCTATTATGATCTGTAAACTAGCGTTAGAGACTGAGTCTTCCATCGTCAGCCACTCTGTAGCATGAAGATAACCCATTTGGGGGTGATTTTGCTTACTTTTTGCTTTTATAACCCTTTAAGACTAGAAATACAATAGTTATTATAGTATGTAGAATACTTGGCTCATGTTTTTGATCAAAAAACTGTTCTTTGATCCATAACCACTTAATGAAGTGCTTTTTGAAAGGTCTTATTGCCTGAATATTGGGTGTTCAATGAGGCCTATTAAGAGAAAGCATAAAACTCAGAATTCTGCCATTGAAACGTTCGGTTTGCTCTGACTAGGTCAGACCAATGATTCTTTCAACCCTTTATCCCCTACCCTGCCAGTGAACTGTGAGTGCCAGAGTTGTGACCATCACAATGACCTGAAAGGTAGGAAAACCCAGTTTACCTGGCCAATTGTACATACTCTCCTGACCAATGAGAAGTTGACACAGAGGGTGATGAGTGAGGAAATAAGATATTCTATTCTACTTTATGAGCCATTTATCGGCCTTCTGTGTGTGTCCGGGCTGTAAACCTCTTCAAAAAGTAGGTAAAAAATTATTTTGTTGTCGTTCGGTTTTCTAGATGAGGTGCAGGGCATAGTGGAAAGAGCAAGCTTTGGCGTTAGATGGACTTAGGTTTGCACACTAGTAACCCTGGGCACGTTTTTCGTTTTTTTTAGATCCTCAGCCTACTCCAAAGGGTTAGTATGAGGACTAGAGTTGGTACACATAAAGTGCTCGGCACAGACTGGCACGTAGACAGCCATGAGCGATGACGACTGCCATTGTTACTGTCACTCAGCATGGGACCAAGGCTCTTTCTAAAGGCGTCACTACATGATCGTTCGTTCCTAACCAGTCACCTTCCAGTTACTCCTCCTGGATATGCCACACACATAGTCATGAAGGTGTGAGTTTTAAATTGTGCTATTTGCTTTCTTCTTTCAGATCTGTAAGAGCAAAGCTAAAGAGTCTCAGCAGTATTACCACAGCTTGGCTGTCCGGCAGAGTCTGGCTGTCCATTTTAACATCCAGCAGGACTGTGGTCACTTTCTTGCCGAAGTCCCCAACCGTCTGCTTCCCTGGGAGGATCCCGATGCCCCTGGAAAGGAAGAGGATGAAATGGAAGAGAGCGAAGAAGAAACAAAAGGAGAAACTGATGGGAAAAACCTGGAGCCCTCTTCCGAAGCAGAGTCATCCCAGAAAGAGAGCCAGGGAGTCACGAGCAAGAAGCAGAGAAGCCACGTCGTGGTCATCACCAGAGAGGTTCCCTGTCTCACTGTGGCCGATTTTGTGCAAGACTCTCTGGCCCAGCATGGGAAAAGCCCTGACTTGTATGAAAGGCAAGTCTGCCTGCTGCTCTTGCAGCTGTGCTCTGGCCTCGAACACCTCAAACCCTACCACGTCACTCACTGCGATCTGCGCCTGGAGAACCTGTTGCTTGTCCACTACCAGCCTGGGGGAACTGCCCAAGGCCTTGGGCCTGCAGAGCCCAGCCCCACCTCATCTTGCCCCACAAGGCTTATAGTGAGCAACTTCTCTCAGGCCAAGCAGAAGAGCCACCTGGTGGACCCCGAGATCCTCCGGGACCAGTCCCGCCTCGCCCCAGAAATCATAACCGCTACCCAGTATAAGAAGTGTGACGAGTTCCAGACAGGCATCCTCATCTATGAGATGCTACATCTGCGCAACCCTTTTGATGAGAACCCGGAGCTGAAGGAGAAGGAATACACGCGCGCAGACCTGCCTCGCATCCCACTCCGCTCCCCCTACTCCCGGGGCCTGCAGCAGCTGGCCAGCTGTCTCCTGAATCCCAACCCTTCCGAGAGGATCCGCATTTCAGACGCCAAAGGCATCCTCCAGTGTCTGCTCTGGGGCCCCCGGGAAGATCTTTTCCAGACTCTCGCCGCCTCCCCCAGCCTAGTGCAGAGGAACAGCCTGCTCCAGAACTGGCTAGACATCAAGCGCACTCTGCTGATGATCAAGTTTGCTGAGAAGTCCCTGGACAGGGAGGGGGGGGTCAGCCTCGAGGACTGGCTTTGTGCTCAGTATTTGGCTTTTGCCACCACAGACTCGCTCAGTTGTATTGTGAAAATCCTGCAACATCGTTAATGTGTCCTGGATGCTGCTTTTACTACACTTTCACCTTCCTCATGTCACCCACCTACTTCCCCTTCCTAATACACAGAATTCAAGGAAAGAAGAGAAAGAAATCTTCCGTCCCTGTCCACAAGCGAGTGGGTCCATTCAGAAAGGTTATTCAGAGCTCCAAATCCAGTGAGAAGCTGAGTCTGTCTTAACTTTACAGAAATTCAACTGCACAAATGTGCCGTTGCCCTCCCCTGCAACACCTTTCATCCTAATAGTCCATAAATTCAGGTAAAAAAAATGAGAATGCACATCCTTGAAGAGACAGCTCCTTTGCTATGAACTCAGTGAACCAGTGAGCTTTGTCCAGTTCCTCCATAATTCTGAATATCTCCTGTCTTTTTAGCACCAAGTGTTTATTCCAACTAGCAATAGACTTAACCAATTTCTACCAGCATCCAGTAAGCTCCCACGACAGACTCTTTCTCCTTTAAGGTATCAGTAACTGACTCTTACCAGGCAGAACTGCCATCTTCGGCATCAACCCAGTTTTGGTTACCGGGGCCTATATCCTTTGTCTCAGCAGGTAGTAGGAAGAAAAGGAGAGTTCCTATCCCTTGGGTCATAGACCTGTTTTCATTTCTGTTATCTGTAAGTGTGTGCACTGCATGGAAGACCCCCTAATAGCCTCCCCTCTGCTGCCACTGCCTGGTTCTCTTTCACCTCTACTCTGTCCTCACTTGCCAAGGAAGTTTGGACTTATCGGCCACTTGTGGCCCATTACAGAGCTGACCTGAGGTGGCGTCACCAGTTCCTCAGCAGGGTGGAGTGCAGTTCAGAGCTTATAAATAGCTGGCAGGACATGAGGAGATGATTTTCTTGCATGTGCAATTCTCTAGGGGCCACCAGGGAACAGACTTTAAAGTACCATTCTTTGATTATTGTCGAAACTGTCAGTGTTGGCAGCCAGGGCTGGCAGTGCCCAGATCACGGTTTCCCCCAAGCAGTAATTGGCCAGCTCCCTTCCACCGGTGGCCGGTGATAACCCGTCTGCCGAGTGCTGTAAGCGGCGGCCCTGAGTGCAATGGCTATCAGCTGAGCTCTAGGTCGCCGTGGAGGGCACAGCGGAGTGGGCTGTTGGGACGGCCGTAAGGCGGGGAGAGGACGAAGGCCACTGATGAGACTGCTGACCTCTCAGAACGTCGCCCTCTTCTAGAGAGACTGCCTCCCAGTGTGGGTGGCACGTTGCTCTCTCTCAATGGCTCTGAGGACAGCTCGCGGGGATTTAGATGGCTGAGGCAGGTGACCGAGCGCTGTTCACCGGGCGTGGAGCCCGCGCTCCTCTCCTGGGGATGTATGTGCAATTTTCACGTGTAGTTTTTAGCTGTATATTACAGTGTTTATGTGACAACTTCACCTGGAGCGAGATCTACAGAAACCCTCCCCTTCTTCCCTTGGCACATATTTGCGCTAAGAGATGAGTGTTTCTTCCACTGGCGTGTGTGTGTGTGTATGCGTGTGTGCGCGTGTGTGTGTGCTCATGCTTATTTTATTCAAAACTGTGAGTATCTGTTTACTTCAACCTTGAAATCCCAAGAGTCACCGAACAGTGCGTGTGTGCACTTGTGTGTCCATGTGCGCGTGCACACGTGTGCCGGAAGGCCAGGCCTCTGAGGGAGCAGCCTGTGGTGGGGTTGACAGACACGTCCTCTGCTCCCAGTTGGCGAGGGAGCCCTGGGGCCCTTCATCGACCAGCACAGAGTTTTCTCGAAGCCAGGCCTGGCTGTGCAGTGTTACTTAGATATAGCACATTAGTGGCCTTGGAAATTTTTAAACTCTTAACATTTTTACCAGCCTTTCATGTGATTCGCCTATATCAAAGAGGATCAAGAAAGGAGAAGAATGTATTTTATTGTGCTCTTATTGTTTTCTTTTAAGAGAACGGGATGTGTGAGGCTCCGCATGGAGGACGTCCTCATCCCCGTGGCCAGCAGTGTAGGACTCCCAGGAAAGAGGGCTGGTTGGCCAGCGAAGAGTCTTGCCTCTTCTCGCCGGAGGGCAGGGCTCTGCCCTTAGGAACAGCCACGGAGCGGGCACTGCTGCTGCTGGCCAGCAGTCTGCTCCCGGTGTCCTGTGGCGTGGCCGCACCTCGCCTGGCAAGCTGGCGTTTGCATCACCTTCGCATAGCCCGTGTGCACATAATTCCTTGCCTGGTTCCGCGCTGTAAGTGGCAGCACACAGACCACTGACCGTGCCAGCCAGCACGTTCCCTTAGACTCCCCCAGCCGCCCCCCACCCCCGCAAAGGGTGTGCATATTGAGACATACCTTCTCAATGTCACTCTCGTGGTGCCTTGCCCCATGTAAATTGGAATGTTGACTATTTAATGAGGTTACATATTTAATGCAGAATGTTCCTGGTTTCTCTATTTGTTATGTCTCTAGGTATCTTCTTTCCTTTATTGTTTCTATTATGACTTGGATCCACTCTTCATTTAATACATTAACTGCCATGCGAGTTGTATTTAACTCACGCTAGTTTTGAGCCTGGGGCCTCATGAAGCACATGTAACTCACACGTCTCTTCACCTTGGGAGCCACGTGAAATATTTTTCAAGTTGCATATAACTCACCCACAGAAAACAATAAAAACTAAATTTTTCATTAAATTAGAAAGGCTCATTTTGTTTTCAAAGTTTTAATTCTATTTTAGTAATAAAACACTGTGGCCCCAAGGGAAAAAAAAATTTGTTTTCTAGTGTGGCAGTCAATGTGTTAACTCTATAGTATAATAAGCATGGACACCTCCACTACCATTATCTTACAGCACTGGTAAACCGAGCACCTCTTCACATCAGATGTGTTTAGTACTGTTTTCGTATTCTAATTTGGCAAAAGATGAATGCCAACTAGTCAGAGAAGGGCCTTAGGCTTCCCAGAGACGGGTGGCTAGATTAATTTTTCTCTGCGTGGTGGCTGAAGACTGAGGTGGGGAGGGAAGCGGATGTTAAGGGTTATAGCAAAATAGAGAAATGTTTTTCTAGGCAAGAAGTACTATATCAAATGGTCCTCAGAATATTTTTCCATAAAAAATTCAGTCAGTCTAACATTATCACAACTATTTTACATTTTCATTTTAATTGTAGTAGAAACTTTGAATTTATTCATCAACTGGAAAGAGATCCTACCTTCTGTAGACACAGATATACACACCCACACCCCCCCATTTTTTATATATATATATGAGTTTTGGATTATGACTAGTATAGCACTTTAAGTTTTCTCAAGTATCAACAAGTTATTGCCTTCAATATTGATTGGAAATGTTTTTCTTTTCTATTGAAGTTTTTATTATAGATTCTTCCATTTATATTGAAAATTTGAACAATTAAGCTCCTATTGGAACTTTTCCTTAAGCCACATGAGCACGAACAATCTCTGTGACACTTCTGGGTGCTGGAGAAACACGACAGTGGCTGGAGTAGCCAAGAGCAAGACTGAATGTAAGCAGAGTGCCTTAGTTAGAATGGTAAAGTAGTCTTGGAAGGAAGAGTCAGTGGATATTCCACAAAGAGGACTAGCACTTCGAGAAGCCTCCCATTCTGGCTGGGGAAAGCCCTTTTGGTGTATGTACACTAGTGTGGGGCCCAGAAGCTAATTCATGAAGAATAACAGGATGAGAACAACAGCAACCGTAACCCATGGAACAACATAAGAGTCATGAATGAGATCCACCAGCCCCAGGCCGAGTTAGAGTCGGAAGCCAGGAATGTGGCCAGGAGTTTCAAGATTTGTTCTCAGAAGATGAGCAGGATGAGGTATTGGGAGTTGGGGGCACAGGCACGCAGCCTACCTGACTGCTGACCTCAGGGTGCTAACAGGTGGAGCAGCCTCCCACTGTGAGATTAAATGGGGCCCAGTTTTGTTTCGAAACTCAGAATAAACTTGTGAACGCAGAAAACTCTAAGCCAAGAGATCTAAACGTCTAGAAATACTAATGACATTTCTGGGAGTAAAACTACTTAAAATTGTATTTTAAAGTTTCTAGTATTGTAAAATTTGCATGAAGGATCTCTGGGGCCTACTCAAGAGTAGGGCATAGGAAGATTGCACCCAGCTTCCCAAATTTGAGTGACGAATACTTTACTGTGGTGCTGGGCAGTAGCCTGACATTTGCTTTATTGGTAACCTGTAATTAGGATTTTTCTCTAGATTTTACCAGCAGTGATCTAAAAAAATACAGGGAGGTCCCAGAAATAGGGATAGATTCAAGAGTCTGTACTGCATTTCAAATGATTCTAGATGTGTACATGAAATAACATTTGGAGAGGAGGGGCGACAGGAATTTGACTCCCTGGGCAGGTCTGGTGTGTTTCTCGTAGCCCTCACTAGTTAATCAGGACTGAAGTTCGGACCCAGCATAGTGAGTGAGCAGGAGGCTGCCCATGAGACCAGCTTGCTAGTTCTGCCTCACTGGAGCCACGTCCTCAAAGGCCCACGGTGCTGTGCCCACACCAGCTGGGGCTGCTCTTGCCCCAGTTGCGCTGCAGTCCCGCTGTCCCTGCGGACGGCTGCACCGAACGGGGGTTCCACGGACCAACAATGATGCCGTAAGGGACGCCAGAAGAGCTGCAGTGCAAGATGCTAGGAGAGATTATACCAAAGAAATCAAGCCTTTCATGCTGATGCTTCTGAGAAGATGAGGGTGAGCTGTGACAGATACCGTGGGGGGTTCACACACATTCCATGCCAGGGTATTCAGCTAATAAATCCCATCCTCAAAAAGCACCTATTTTTTTAAGAAGTCCATTTTGTATATTAGAAGGAAAAGTGAGGAGGAGGAAGAGGATGAAAGGCCCGGGCAGATACAAAGCTCCCGTATATTTAAGAAGGAACTCTTCTGTCCCCCTCGACATGACTGGCTGTTGCTCAAACCTCAGCTCGGGAACACGGTACCCATGTGAGCCTGAAAGGTTTTTCTAAAAAGACATGGTAGTTTTAATAGGTTTGTTGAAAGACTTCTTGGGAAATTTCTTAACAAATTGCACTTGTTTATAAACCTTCCTACAGAGCTGTTTACCGTTCGTCATCACCATCATTTAATATTTGTAAGTGCCCAGAAGGTACCAGGTGCTACGCGGCTGCCAGACGCCCCCGCCCTGCAGCTGTTTGAGATTAGAGTAGGTTGCACTGGCCGCTCCGGAAGCTTCCGCCCAGCTGGGCTGCAGGGCCTCTGAGTTTAGCCCAGCTTCTCATCCCACCCACCCCCATGGTTTTTTTTTAAATCAAGAAAGTTTCAGGGAATCAAAAGAGGCTGGAAATTTTTTAACCTAGCAGAAGTACAGAGTCATATATTTTGCTACGAATGTTAGTGCAGTACAGAAAGCACGCTTCGCCCTTAATGTGTGGACAGGACGTGTGTGTCT